AGATTCACTGGCGCTCATGTAGACCGACTTTGAGATAGCATAACGTACATCGGCCAGAAACTGAATAATAAGCTCGGATCTATATGGATCGAACCGAGATTCAATGAATGTACAGGCTTACCTGGGAGCCATATGAGCGAAGAAAAGTATAAACAGGAATGGAGGTAGCCAGTAACCACAACAAAAGTACCCGTCGAAAAACAAACAATTGATAAATAAAGCAAATAAATAGCGATAAAGCTATAGCCTAAAAGTAGAACAATTAAAATCACAAGAGAAAGAAGCCGAGACACTTGCAAAAGTTTAAATACCATTGGAATGGACGGGATTTTCCGTAGTTGATTGGGATGATACAGTTTGACATAATCAATGTGCGGTCTGCGGTCCAGTTGTCTCATCAACGATGTCATCATGCTGGCAAACTCCGGAACGACAAGGGCGTCGTCTTCGAGTAACATCACGTACCTATCAAAAGTGAACCAGTAGGGACTGAACCACGATACTGAAGTTTATCTATTATTCACTAAAATATATTATTATTCGTTCAATTCGCTGAATAGGCCACAACAGACCATTCGAAGCACCAATTATTGTGAATGAAACTCTAAAGGGAGCGCGTACCAAAAGGGATCGAAAAACAAATAAGCCCAATCTCCCTCTACCCTCATTATATAACCACATATCACTTTGTAACTACGGCTCAATATGTGTAGTGGAGAAGCTAAACTCGAAAATTTTTCCTGTTAAGGAGTACGACAGGACATCCTGGGAAGCTTAGCCAACTCGATATATATTAGGAACGAAAGTGCGACGACTTTGAAGGTATTACCTTGCTTTGGTCGTACGATTGAGGCATTTCCAGTAGTCAGACGCTTCTTTTGCTATGGTGTCGTTCAAGGGTAATCGTCTGGAACTCACACCTGAACTACGTATCTCCAATAGGAAGAACCATTGAATAGTTTTAGGAAAAAATTAGCAGAGGAAAGCTGTAGGAGCAGTTTGGTTCGGTCGGTTTGTGCTTGTCTTGCAGAGTTGGATTGCAAGATCGTCAGATATGAGGATTTCGGGAACATTTACATGACACTACAGTGGACTTACGAAAATTTCAATGACTTGAGAAAGTTAAACCCCCCTTCCTGATTCTCTACTCAATAATATGCTTATAATGATCGAGACGTCTTTCGTTCACCCACTCATTTCGGAATAGGATCAAAATTTCAACGGAAAGGCGAGAATGGGTGACTCACCACTGAGTATTCGTATCGGAATGTGCATTTGGAATTGCCGTAGTTCCTCGAATACCACTGGCTCTACGCTACATAGCTCGAGACTGGGTGGAAATCGTCTGTGAGATTCATAGGAATCAACCAGAAATGCGATAACCTGTAAAGTTCAGCTGTCTGTTGTAAGTGGGAGATGTGAAGGTTAGGGAACAACTCAGGCAACTGCTAAACTTGGATTTAGGTTCGTGATTTCGAGAAATTTGTGATATAATTACGATGTAGAATGTAAAATTTGAAATGAAATCGATAAGATAGCCATAAGAAAAACTAAAGTTAACACTGAAGCAGTTGCCATACCTGAAGAAGGTAATCCTGACGTCGATCAGAGGCGATGATGCGGATTTCCAGTGGACTGAACTAAATGGACGATGTTATCAATCCTACCGTATAAATCTGAGGTAAGGATAGGGTAATAGCTTTATAACTAGCAAAGCTTCATTTTCAAAGGCTGAGGAGATTCCACTGTCGATGACAGAGTACTTAAGAAAAACAACTTGTTGGAAGACCCACTTCACTTACATGATCAGATTCTTTGATGGCATGCCGATAGAGCTGTTCGGAAATATTCAATCGATACCTATTTAGAGCATTATCGTCATTGATGAGATGTTTGGGAAAATACTTTTGCTCGCCAGAAATAGTCGGAATACGGCGATAAAGAAGGTAGAATGTGATGCGGCATAGAATTATACAGATAAGCGACCCAATCGCTTTTCCGATGATGTCGTTCCATCGCATTCATGAACTGCAAATAAATTGTTTACTCGCTTGTTTATTTATTGTTCACGTTCATTTACAAAAAGAGGAATGGACGCACAATACAGAGCTATGACGAATTATAATTTATCAAAGTCTACATACATTTGAAACATATTTACGGATGAAGAAAGGAGAGAATTTATGCTGAATGGGGTGAAAAGAGTTTCCAGGCTTTCTGTGCCATGCACATGTATTCATTGA